ACTGTTTCTATGCCTTTTCCAAAAGATGAGAATAGCAAATGTCTTCCGCCTTTATCGCAGCCATTAAAACTCACGTGCTGTTCCTAACCTCGCCTGACCTTTCGTCTACGGTCTGACCCGCTGTTGACATGACAAGCAGCGGCACGAACCCCGACCATAAGAATGCATATCGCAAGTCACAGCGAGAGAACGTGCCAACCGCAGCTTTACTTTCCCTTCAGGATACAGAGAGAAGAAGGGCGCGTCTGCACCTAACAGTTCCTTCCCCCCTCCGTCGCTCCTTTCCTCCTCCTCCTCCTCCTCCCTCCTCCTTCTCCTCCTCTTACTCCTCCTCCTCCTCCTCCTCCTCCTCCTCCTCCTCCTCCTCCTCCCTCCTCCATCTCCTCCTCTTACTCCTCCTCCCTCTCTCGCTGCCCTCCTTCCCTGCCTCCTCTTTCCTTGCTGCCCTCCTTCCCTCCCTCCCCTCTCTCATTGCTGCCCTTCTTCTCCCCTTCCCTCTCTCTCGCTGCCCTCCTTTACTCCCTCCCTTCTCTCGCCGCCCTCCCTCCTTCCTACCCCTCTCTCGCTGCCTTCCTGCCCCCCCTCTCCTCTCTTGCTTCCCTCTCTCCCTCTCTCGCTGCTGCCCATCTTCTCTCCTTCACTCTCTCTCGCTGCCTTCCTGCCCTCCTTCCCCTCTCTCGCTGCTGCCCTTCCTTCCTTCCCTTCTTTCCCCTCTCTCCCCTCTCTCCCCTCTCTCCCTGCTGACCTCCTGTCCTCCCCCCCTCTCCCCCTGCTGCCGTCCTTCCCTCTCTCCCCTCCTTCCCCCCTCACCTCTCCCCCTTCTGCCCACCTTCCACGAGCACATTTTTCAAGCTTTCCTCTCACCTGCGTCGTCAGCCCCTCCCTCTTTCCCCACAGTTCGCCTCCCCTTCCTGGTCCCTCCCCCCTTCTGACCCATGCTCCCAATCCCCTTCCTCTCATACCCCACCCCTCTATCCCCCACACCCCTCCTCCCCAACGTACCCCCTCACGCCTTCGCTAGCTCCTCCACCCCCCCCCCCCACCGTCATACCTCCCCCTCCACGCCGTTCCCTTCTCTTCTGAGCCTCCCGCGGTATAAATATTCTCGCGTTAGGTCACAGCAGTTACTCTCCAGTTCGTTCCTTCAGCGTGCGATCCCGTTCGTCTTAAGGTCTTTTGAAATCATCTCGCTCAAGGTGGGTATGTGCACTCAACTCCGGTGTGATCTCGAAACGGCCTAAACGTCTTAAGTGTCTGTAAAGCGATCTGGTGGTTCAAGGTGTTCCTTAGTGGCGTGGTGTTTCTTGTTACGTGTTGTGATATAGTGATCTGCATTGACTAGTGATGAAACTGATTTCGGGACAAATCTGACCTCGATTGTACATTGTATGTGAAACGACTGACATGCGTGAGGTTCATGCGTAATTGAGGATACCAGTAGTTCGAGAAATTTTGCTGTTATCATAATCTGAATCAAATTGTATCCTATGTTGATGATTGTCTTTAACAATATTCCAACGATTTCATCCTTCTTCATCCAAGACTCTAAATCTAATTTTACCTTTGTGTTGTTAGTATTGTCATATTATCATCAGCAATGATATTTTCTCTAACAGAATATTTCTAATCGTTGAAATATTTATAATGATTAGGATATGAGATCAGTGAACAGTGAGTGTGATGAAGAACAGTGAAATCAGACTTGGAAAGAATGATGATAATAGGACAAATTGACACCAACCACCATATTCTGAATAGCTGAATAGTTCTGAGATGCGATTTATTGTTTTGGCAAGTAGAGTAGGTCACAGGAGTAGTATAGTAACAGCTTTAGCGGAATAGTTAATTTTATAGAGTAGATCTTCAGGTAAGTGACCAGGTAAGTCTCGCGGCTCATCTGGGCGATAAAGTCCTCTCGGGTCAGCCCACACCGCATGGAGAAGTTGCACAGATAGAGGGGCGCGTGATTGGACTTTATTCCCAAATGAGTTGGCGAGATGCGGGGGTTCCAATCACCGCTGCTCTAATCTGTGGAATTTCTCTTTGCAGGATGTGGCGCTTGACGGCGACGCTGCTGCTGCTGGCTCTGGCTTCGGCCGATCCCCAGGGATACAGTTACCCGGAACCATCCCTGGGAGGCTATCTGCCTCCTCCGCCCTCTAATCCAGTCTGCCCTGCAGTCACCTCCGTTGTATACGACACTCGTGTTCAAACGTCTGTCAACGTGCAGACTGTCAATCAAGTGAGCACGCAGTACGTTACGACCACAGTAGTTAGGCAGCAGGTCGTACCAACTACCCTTTTCCGAACGCGTGTCCAGACGCAGGTTCAGTACGAAACCAGTGTCGTCCAACACACAACGACGTATGTCAATTACAGAATTCAGACCCAGACCATTCCAAGTCCACCCGTTGTACGGACGCAGTACGTCACTTCCACTCGCATCGTGCCGCAGGTCAGCTATGTCACCCAGACACAAACCCGAACACAAGTTGTACCTGTTGAGGTAACCCGCACGCAAGTACAGACGATCTACCAGCCTGTTGTCACCTACGAGACTAAGGTTCAGCAACAAACGCAGGTTGTAACTATCCCTGGTCGTGACGTCGTTAAAACACGGGTTCAGACCGTGGTTCAGACCTCTATCGTGAGGCGCCAGCAACCTGGTAGTACTAGATATGTAACTTCGACACGTGTGCAACAGGTGGTACAAACATCAGTCGTCCGCGGACAGGACGTCGTAAGGACCAGCGTTGTCCAGAGACAACAGGTCATTCCTTTCACATCTGTCAACACGCGTTACGAGAATGCCGTCGCCACTCGCGAACAGGTGGTGACGAGGACCAACGTGGTTACCCAGACTCGTGTCCAAACCCAGGTGGTGCCCCAGGAGGTGGTGAGAACCCAGGTGGTTCCCACCACCATCTACACCACCCGCTACGAGACCCGGGTTCAGCCCTTCACACAGGTGCAGACCGTGGTCAGGACCCAGTACGTCACACCGGCCCCCGTGGTAAAAACCCAACAGGAAGTGCGGACCTCTGTGGTCCAGGTGCCCGGTCCGGACCGCGTAGTCACCAGTCAGGTCGTGCAGACCCAGCAACAGCAGCAGGTCGTCTATCAGACAGTTAACCAGCTTCAGCAGGTCACTGTTACAAGAACAGTTACAGGAACGTGTGGAGGGTCCGGATATAACTATAATGCGCCGGCAATTCCCTTCGTAACTGGATAACTTTCCTCTTTTAAATTTTACTCTAGTTCTTGATTTATACAGCATTTCCTCTTTTACCATCTGGAGATCACTCAAATGTTAGCTATGAATTACAAAGTAAAAAGGAAATTGGTGGTAATTGTTTACCCGTTTTATCGTGTACGTTTTCTCATTAAATTATAATAATAATATTGTTTATTTCACTAAACCTTTAAGCAAACTGATTTTCTGACACTCATCTTCTAAGTAAGTATAATTGTTATTTTATCATCCTTTAGGACTCCTAGTTTCTGTCCATGTAAATCCTTAGTACATATTTCGAAATTAAATCATATAAGTACATGATTGCACTTCATTGCAGACACTGATATAAAGATATCATACTCTGTTTTCAGGATGTTGGCGCTGGCATTGCTCTTGCTGGTGGGGTTCGCTCACGGAATCTCGCTAGAAAGGCCACAGCGTGACCTGCTTGGCAACGGCATCGATCTACAACCGTCTGGCCTGTATGGAGTTCCGATGGACTACGGCTGTCAACCATCTACGATTTACAGCACTCAAGTCCAGTATTCCACTGTTGTCGTCCCCTCTATTGTCTACAACAATCAAATTCAGTATGCTACTAAGACGTCTGTCCGCGCACAACAGGTCTACACCACTATCTATTCTGATATTGTCAGCACCCAGTATGTTCCTTCCGTGATCTATCAGACGGTGACTGTTACTCGCACTCAGGATCAAGTACGCACGCAGGTCGTCACTCTCCCGGCGCAGACTAGTTACGTGGCTCGCACACAAGAAGTCGTAAGGACGCAGGTGCAGTATCAGACTAAATACACGACTATCGTCCAATCGATACCCTCGACGATCACTAGAAATGTCGTATCTACAGTCGTAGTGCCCCAGCAGGTAGTCAGTACTGTCTACCAGACACAGACGGTTACCAGGACACAGCAGGAGCCAGATAGGACCAGAACTGTCCCCAGCACTCAGTACAGCACCGTTTATTCTACTGTAGTTATTCCGGGAGAGGACGTTGTAAAGACAACTGTCGCCGTTAGCACCAACTATATCGTTCAGACTGTCACACAGCCTGGACAGACTCGATATATCACCTCTACACAAGTGGTCCCCGTCACCACTACCATCTACTCACAGGTGGTTCTCACCAACACTCAGACGCAGTACGTGACTCGCACTCAGGTGCAGACGCAATATACAACTGTCGTGCGTACGGAACAAGTGAGACAGTACGTCACAAGGACCGTCACAGTTCCCCAACAGGTGGTGAAAACCCAAGTTTCTACTCAGGTAGTCCCCACAACCATCTATAGTCAACAGGTGGTTCCTTCCATCGTAAACCTTCCCGCTCACACCGAGTACTTTACTATCACCCAGACGGTTGTCAACACCCAGCAGCTCCCTGGCCAAACCCGTGTCCAGTACGTGACACGAACAGTCTACAACACCAACTATGTAACTTCCACGGTATACAACAAGCAATACAACACCGTGACGGCCACCTACACTCAGAAGCCCAACTGCAACACCGGCTACAATTACCCTGAACCTGCTGTTGGCTTCAACGCACTTGGTCGTTAATGCAAAGTCTACATGATACACTAGAGGAAATAATAAATTATTCTTTATTCTAACGAACACTAAAAAAAACTATTCAAATGGTCAGAGACAGGAATAAATAATCATATTATGTGTTAAGTTTCCTCAATTTATCAAATATATCGCATTTGTTTTAAGTATACACTAAGAAATAAAAGTTTTTTTTTCA